GGGGGGGGGGGGTAGAAAAAAATGTGTTTTACAGGTTTAGGGGGTCATGAAAAAGCAAACATGGTGTTCTCACGGATGCACCAGCCCCTCCTACCTCTAATTGTTGACCGGTCCGTAAGTCGGGGAAAAAACTTTTTGGTTGCCGTAAGGTCAGCTGTAAACCAGAGATATCGGCCAATGTCAGTGTGTAATTTATGAGAGAAAACTCTTACTAAGATCTACTAAATAAGCCTGGTCCTCAGGGTTTTCTCGTTTTCCAATATGACGGTCATATTAGAAAACGAGAAAACCCTGGGCCGGGGATGACGTTGGAATTTAGCTACAATGATTGTTTACCACTTAGGCCTAGACCAAACTTCGAACTTTTCATGAGACAAACCAAACTAAGACCATAAAACAATTTTAGCCGGCCAGCGGATGTAGAAATTTTCTCCCGAACGAGGATAAATATACATTATCATTACAAATTTTTCATTTATTAGTTTAGTTGTCGCAGTGAAGATCGACGTTTGTCCCGGAGACGATCTTCAGACGTTCTATCCGTTGCTTCCGGAACCACCCTAAAAGTCGTGTTCCATTTACTTTCCAACTGCACTTTCCAGAAACTTTTGTCCATGGTAAAAAAAATAACCTGAATGTTACCTGTTTGTAGAATAACGAATAGTGGTGGTGGTGGTGGCGCGGACGTTTGCAGTCATTGCACGTAGGAGTAATACGAGTGAACTGACGTTTAACAAAACAAGACAACATTTCTGAAAGAAGTATGCATTTATTGAAAAACTAGAAAACCTGCTATTCGTGTACAAAGTGATTAACAATGATACCGAAAGCGTTACAGCTTTCTGTTACGTTTCTTCGTGAAAAACTACCTTTAAACTCTATTATAAAAAACAATATTGAACAAATCGTTTTCCCTCTTGGTTTATCTTTCTTTCACTCTTGCTTGTGGGTTATTCTTCGACTTTCGTCTTGTTCACACTAGGTGCCCAAGTACAAGTGCTTGGGTACCGGCGCAAAATGGTCAGAATGCTTACATCTTAGGGGCACCTGATATGTAACTGTGTACATAATTGCTACATTTCGCCCTGTCAGACAGCATTTGGGAACATAAGCGCCGCAGGGAGATGGATATGCAGAGCATTAGAAACAGAAAACGTGTTCATACAGGGACGCGATGCCCACTTTAGCGCTCGAGCACAAGGTTTTGACCTTTTCTGGCGTGGCTACTTAGTGCATAGCGACACCATGCTAAGGCGCCAAGTGTGAGCAAACCCTTACTGGACTAAAAGATTCTTGTTAGGTTCTATGTTTTAAAAATATACCTTAATTTATTTCATTGTAAATTACTCTTTCAATTCTAATGTATCATATTAATTAAATACTGCATTCTTTTCTAACTATAAAACTCACGTGTCCTAAGTGAAATATAAATCTGCTACTTAAAATATAATGTTAAAATATACGATCATCATCTGGTACAAAAATATAGCTCTTGGGTTAACTTAGCGAAACTTATACACCTTTTAAATAGTTAAAGAGTTTGACTTAATGACGCAATCGATACTAAGACAACCCAATTGTTTAACCGCAGTGAAACAGAAGGAACAGGTGGCAATTAAGATGAGGTTATCAATCTTACCATTCTGGTCGCATCGGGGGTTACTCGAGGGATGGTCAACTTTAACCCAGGGTTAAGAGAAATCTTAAACGCAATTTTCAATCTAGGAACATGTTTTAATTGAACCTTATTGAATATTGCTGAGTTAGTCAGAAAACAAAGACCTAAACAAAACAAAACAACGGCAACAATAAAAAAAAAAATTAAAAAATTGACAAAAAATTTAACTCAGTCGAAGGTAAAATCTGCGAGATTTTGTTCGTTGAACCCAAGAAAGTGTTACTTAACATTATGTCAATAAAGAAAAGGAAAATCTAATCGGAAACCACTCAACACACTCATTTGTCTAAGCAATTTACAAAACTTGTACTGCGAGCAGAGGTTTCTCTCCTGCATGGCTTTTAGCGTTTACGAAGTCGTTCGCGTCGACAAACCAACTACAAGGCTAACAAGCGACGCCATCGACGTCGTAAACGCTAAATACCATACCAGAGAGAAACCTCTGCCCCTAGCGTAACAAAACTAGTTTCGTCTTAGATTTTTCTTTTCTCTGTTGATATAACGTTAAGGTCAATGATCTATGAGCTATTAACGACAAAAACACCTATGGGGTCCTAAGTCACTGAAAATATTGAATAATGCCTGCCTTCTCCTCAGGCACTTTGTTTCGCACTTCGGTCGCCAACAAAAGTGAGTGCGAAACGCAAGTGACTGGTGACGAAGTGCAAGGAACCATGGGAAGCTGGAAAAAGAGAGGCCTGCTATCTCTTTCCCGCCGTCCTTTCTGCATAAATCGCTATAAAGCGAATGAGGCTGAGAAAAAAGAAAAAAACAGTAAGACAGCAAGAAGAATGAGGGAATAAAACAGAAATAAATTTAAGAAAAATATTAAAATGTACTTTTACAAAAGTCTTAACCATGAGTTAAAGTAGTTGGGCCTGGAGATCTGGGACCAGAAATACAGCAAAAAAAGAGATGAATTCAGGGGACGGACAACACCATAAGTCTATAAACGGAAAGGTAAGAAAAAAGCCTGTTTAACAGAGCCTACGTATAAGGTGGCCTTTCTAAGCTCCTACAGCTTCATTACGTAACCAGTCTGTAATAGTGTGTTCGTATTTCTTCAGCCAGTCGATGTTAGCCCGTGTGCGCTCAATAGCTTGTTTACGAGCATTCTCGCTTGTTCCGGCTTCAGAACGGTCAAAAAATGCCTTCATCTGCAAGAAAATTTAACAATCATAGTAAGTTATTTCGGTCACTCAATAATGCAGTAACTGCCGACGTCTCCAAATTTCAGCAAAAATAGTAAAGTGGCAAAATATACTACATTTGCATTAATGACAGTATATCTACTGTTGTTTAAACCACCCATGATTATTTAAATACCTTATAGTGGTGTATCAGGGTTCGTTAAGATTTTTGAATCCAAAATTCAAGACTCCAAAACAATAATTTCTTTTTCCAGACCCAAGGTTATCAAACAGGTGATCAATAGACACCTTAAAAAAGCAGGAACAAAGTTTTTCGCGAAGCACTGCGAACGTACGGGTGAGATTGAATAAGATTTGACCAAAGCGAAACAAAATTTCACTTATAAACCACTAGTTGTAGCTATCAAGATAAACTCAAGACTTTTTACCATTTTTCAAGACTTTATGCCTATTTTCCAGACTTTTTCCAGGTCTCGAAAATTACTACTAATACTACTAATAAGTCGGCTACAGAAGAACCTTGACAAGGTTATTCCAAACTCTTTGATCGTGCATCAGCGCTTCTAACTACTGACTAAAGTCTACATCAGAGTCTCGCTTTAAGACATTAACTAGTGTTGATTTTGGTGGTCCTCTACCACTGTGGCCTTGGGTTGGCTCCCAAAGGACAAGTTTGTGTGCTGGGAGGTAGGGATGTCTTTGACAGTGCCCAGCAAGTCTCAGTCCTTCTTGCGGCTACTTTGTCTCCAAATCTCGGTAAATCTCCATAAAGATATTCATTGGAGGTGTGGCTTTGCCAGAAAACACTCAAGGCCACCCGCAGCATGCGAGTGTAGCAACCATTTAATGACTTGGTTACAAGGGTAGGGGTTAGGGTCCAGGTTTCACCACCATGAAGAAGAACAGATTCTACAGTGGCTTTGAAGAATGACAGTTTTACATCCCTGGACATATTAGACCTCCAGATCTTCTTCATTCTGGAAAATTGCCGGGCAAATTTCAAGACTTTTTCAAGAATTCAACACTCTGTACCAACCCTGTGTATGGTAATTGGTAGTAGCTAACTATTCGATGTTTCAAATAACTTTTCAAGTACACTGTACTTCTTTATGTCTAAGAGAACTCGCTACCGCAATTCCCGCATAGGGAGGTCATAGTAGCAGCCTCGTTTTGTTTCCCACAAAACTTATCTTATGTAGTCAAAAAGTCTAGAAATAAAAATTAAAAATAACAACAACAGCAACAACCAACATTTATCCATTCTCGCTGACGTCAAAATAAGTTTTTCCCTCTTAGTGACATACAAAGTAATTTCTTGGTCAATTCGCTTTAATTTTTCAGACAATCACATTTTTTGTCATACTAAAAGATCAACTTCCAAGGCATTCCAAAACCACCTGATTTTTTATGTACATGACCGTCTACACATTCCCCGAAACGCAAAAACCGTGGAGCTTTTAGCACAACTACATTTGAGTGACAAGATTAAGTAACCCACCTGTTGGAGATCAGCCTCGGTACTAAACTGAGTCACAGCATTAGTCAGGCTTGCCATACGGAAAGTACTGGTGCTGAACCTGTAATGACAACAAAGACAGGCGTCACATCAGCAGGGCTTGTCACTGGAAATAATGAGCTTTCATAGCTTATACCACAGTCTTCAGTAAAAGATCTTTACCTTGCCATCACTTAAAACAGATACAGTGTTCTTGTTAGGCTTATAAAAGCGGTTTTGTAGGATGGTCCCCTGCATGAAGTCTTGTGAAAAAAAGCTTTCTTCGAATGACTATTGGAATGTGATGATCGGTTGACAACAGAAACATCAATTTACGGTACTGAAGTGTCTCGGGCCCCTTGTTATCGGTGGGCTCTATTCGCTAAACCAATCAAATGCTACGCGCGGAACATTTGTTAAACCAGTCTACAACCACGCTCTTTGATCTCTGTTTGCTGCATCAATCAAAAGCCGAGTGAATCAAGAGTGACTTTGAACTAGACATATGCTACATCAGTTACACGCCGCGCGTTAGTCTCCGGTCGTTTGTTATATCAACCAAAAGCCGTGCGGGTGATTTCCCTTTGCATGTCTTTGATAAGGGACCAAACCCCGCGCGTGTTGATCGCAGGGTGACATGAGAGTGTCGTTTCTTCACGGTAGGCAATTTTCACGTGTACTAGCTCACTACTTTGATTTCCACCCAAAACAATAATATACTTCATGTGTCACTTACATGTCAAACAAAGTTTTCCAGTTATTTTGGACGAAGGTCCAGGCTAAGTACTTGCCAACAGGATTGGAAGCTACGTATCTAATCACACTGACGGCATCCTGTGATCGAACCTTGGACGAGTCAAGGGAGTATTCCAAATACCTGAATAACATAATAAGTCACCAACATTTTAAAGCAATCCACAATCCGTAATTTGTTAATAAAGCAAACATCTATTAAAAGGACTTTTATTCAGCGGTGACTTAAAGTCCCGAAAATTATTTTCCATAATTATAATAAAAATGACCTTTATTCCGTGGTCACCTTTTCCTAGGTCCTAACGAGTTATTACAGACCTTAAGATTGAGGTTTTTCGGCATTTCCCGCGAACTGCGAACGTCTAGAAGTCACGTGACCAGGGCCTTGCCGCCAGGTTTGCGGTTTGAGTTCACGTTTGTACCGCTAAACCACGCTCCAGAGGTAAGTGATTTACCGGAAGGCTTTTTGCACCCCAAAGCATCACAATCCCACGTTTGAGAAGAAATACGACTTTTTAGAACTCTTTTGCTTATTGATTATCCAATTCTATTTCAAAAAACGAAATTTTGAAGACAAATTTTCAGCTAAAATAGAAGCAAGCGGATGAATGACAGCAAACATGGCAGCCACGAGCTACCAACTGCGAATCTTAAGTGTCAAATATGGGCAGACGGGTAACGTGAAATCGTTAACCGCAAACCGCAGTTTGTCGTTTTCAGTAAAATGACCAAACCTCGTTCCGAGGTCTCTATTTGTTATTGTCTTTGTCCTCTATTAAACGGTCACTTTGTAAAGATGTGCCTTAGGGGTCTTTAATTCCCTTCTATTGGCAAACGAAGAAGTAGAAACACTTTGACGTCAATTTATCGTGTTTCGGATATTTCACTTTGCCACCATCTTCGTTTTGTCAAAGCTGTATCAAACGGTCACCCGATGGCCATTCCCGGGTGACCGCGTAATACTGTAAACACGTCTTTTCTTAATAAGTATCAAATATTACGGACTCGACTTTGGATAGACCAACGTACAGATGATGAAACTCGTAAATGAGAAAAGAACAAACCAGAATCAACGAACGAGCCTTTGTTTTTTTGGCAAAGCATGGAAATCCTAAACTTCAAAACTAATCCATCAATGGTAACAGGGTACCCAGGATCGATCCCGACAATTCCCCTGCAAATGTGGTTTCTTAGTTCTTACATGTTTAAGATCCATGTCTCTCGTGAGGCCGCCAATGCATACATCAGTTTACTTTTCTCTGACGGTGCCGTTGTCATGAGGTATTTCTTGAACAACCACTGC